GGAGAAGGCTGCCCAAGCTGGCCTTAAATGTTTAGGCTCCTGCCATCCTCCTGCCTCAGTTTCCCAAGTAGCTGAGACTATAGGCATATGCTATCACACTGGGTGAGTCGGTAATTTTAAAGCAAGTTCCTCCCCAATACCACTTATTTCTCTTTTGAAAAGTTTGGAAGCAATGGGTACAAGTAAAATTTAATATAATCTCGAGTAGCTAAGTTGTCTTGATATTAATTTTATTTATTTATTTATTTATTTATTTATTTATTTATTTATTTATTTATTTATGTTTTTAGATGGGGTTTCACTGTGTATCCCTGGCTGGCCTTGAACTTACTGTGTAGACCAGGCAACCTTGTACTCATGGAGATCTGCCTGCCTCTGCTTCCTGAGTGCTGAGGTGTGCACCTCTATTTATTTATTTATTTGTTCGTTTGTTTGTTTGTTTGTTTATTTTTTCCTAGAATAGTATCTCACTATGAGGCCTTGGCTGTCCTGGAATGGCTTTGTAGACCAGGCTGATCTTGAACTCTTAGAGATCTGTCTGTCTGCTAGCCAGTGCTGGGATTAAGGCATGTACTGCCCTCCAGGCTTTTCTTCCCTTTAATTTCACTGTCTTCCCGTACTCCTCTGTAAGTGCTCCTCAGTGTAGTGCTTTCTTGTAAAGCTCTCCCCATCTACCCCTTCATCTGGGGACAGTGGCAGTGCATTGCTGATATCTGTGGACATGTATGTTTCTGCAAATGAGTAGATGCATTATGGTGCAAGTTTTTGTCATATAGCTCATGCCCCCCACCTCCCCAGAACCACACAGTTGGCAGTTCTTTTTTCCTAACCACAGCATAACCTTTCTTGGTTTGGGAGCTTGGGTGTGCTCTGTCTCCCTCTCTGTCTTTCTCTGTGAACTGTCCTTCTGTGTCTCCATTGTATTGAAGATGTGCACTGGTTTGGTAGCTTTCACGGGGTAGAAAACTTTTCATACTTTATGTTTTAATTTCAGTAAATTAATTCATAGATTTGTCTTTCTCATTAACATAATTTCATTAACCTGAAAGCTACTTTGAATTCTGTGTAGTCAATTAAAGAATTGAAAATTTGTCACTATTAGCTAAAACCTGGTGAGGTGGCTCAGCTGGTAAAGGCACTTGTCACCAAGCCTAGTGATCTCAGTTTAATCCCCAGGACCCACATAGTAAAAGAAGAGACCCTGCTACTCTCTTTATCCTAGCGATGGGATGCCTGCACGCCTTTCCACACACATACAATACATTACTAAATAAATACATAAATTGTAAAATTTTTAAGCGATTTATTTTATTTTTGTGCGTTGGTGTTTTGCTTGCATTTAGGTCTCTGTCTGAGGGTGTCAGATCACTTTGTTGGAGTTACCATGTTGTGAGCTGCCATGTGGGTGCTGGGAATTGAACCCCGGGACCTCTGGAAGAGCAGCCAGTGCTCTTGACTTCTGAGCCTTCTCTCTAGCCCCAAATTATAATGTTTTAATAAAAAAAACTCTAAGTTCTGGAAAATTATAAGCATGTAAATGAGATAATCATCAACTTTGTCCTTTATATAGAAGTGGAAAAAGTAGGTACATCTTTGAATTATAGAAATAAAACTTTGGATAAGACATAGAACCAAGCTGGGTTTTGTGTTTTGTTTTTGTTTATTTGTTTTGAGACATGGTCCCTCTATGTAGCCCTGGATGTCCTGAAACTTGACATTTAGACCTGTGGACCAGACTGGACTCAAACTCACATAGATCCACTGGCCTCTCCTTCCCTAGCACCAAATTGGCGTAGTGGCTGTATTGATTATTGACATGGTAAATCCTGTCTTACAGCACCAGAGTCACACAAGTAAGCACACTAAAAGGATGAGAAAAGGTCCCTACTGTGTAATGTGGTTAGTGCCTTTCGTGAATGAAACCATTGTCAAAGGAAAAGTACAGGGTCCAGAGATGCCTGAGCACTTAGAGCGCTTGTTGCTCTTTCCCAGGATCCGTAATTTGCCGACACCCCTTGATAGTTTCAGTTCCAAGGATCCAGTGTCCTCTTCTGGACTCCAAGGGCACCTGGCATGATATGGTGCACATACATTCATGAAGGCAAACACTTATGCACATAAAATACTAAATCTTAAGGAAAAGCATGTCTAGAGAAGGAACCTGGTTTCTTTAGGGATGTGCTTCTATTTTGAAGAAAGGTTTAAGAAAAATGAACACCCCTGTTGCCTGGGGAGGACTGTTTCCCCTACTGTATCTTTTTACATTTGCCAAGGAGTTTATAGATAAGAATAAAGAGGAAAAAAAAAAAAAGCTTGCTTGGCGGTGGTGGTGTATACCTTTAATCCCAGCACTTGGGAGGCAGAGGCAGGCGGATCTCTGTGAATTCAAGACCAGCCTGGTCTACAAAGCAAGTTCCAGGACAGCCAGGGTTACACAGAGAAAACCCTGTCTGGAAAAATAAAAAAACAACAAAGTCTTGGTCACACTTTATTGTGTTAGACCTTGATGCTTCCTGAGTCTCTGATTTTCCAATGGTGACCTCTTTGGTTGGAGGTAGGCGTTAGCAGCTCACAGCTGACACGTGTAAGTGAGCTGTGTTTGGGAAGCTTTGAGGCTGTGTGGCTGACTGTACAGGCCTCAGTCTCATAAACACCATGCTTACAGATGGGGCTTTGATTGGATGCTGTTTCCAGTGGTATATGCAGAGATGTAGGGCATGTGTAGTGCACACTCAATGGTCTCAACACTCAGACACTGAGGGAGGAGTGTCAAGGAATGACTGACTGCCAGGCCAGCCAGATCCTGTGTATGGGAGTGCATGGGGGAAGGCGGAGCTCAGCATGTTGTAGCTTGCTTTTGTGAAAGCTCTGTTTAGCTCATGAAGAGACATCTTTGAAAAGCTGTTTCCTTATCACAAAGTTGTCCTTCAGGGCTCTGCTCCAAACCCAAATCCTTTACGCACTACTGAGGTGCTGTAGCCAGCTTCTCACGGGACTTGTATTTCACTGTTTTCTTGAAGTTGCTTTGCAGTCAGTTTGTTTTCTGATTCATGTTGTGTTTTCAAGGGTGGACTATCATGAATTTTTTCGTGTTGCTATTTAGGACCACACAAATATTTCTGCCTGCTTGTGGTCCATCTGGCCACTCACTGTGCGTTGCCACAAGTGCTATGGCAAAACTGAGTGTGCCACACACGCTTGACAGCTGTGTTATTCTGCTTCAATCTAGTAACTGCTCCCTACACAGTATATGTACCTCATCGCATGAGTGGGGTCTTCACTGTTAACCCTACTGAACAACCATTTGATTACAAACAAATGAGAGCTCTGAGAGTTTGAACAGTGTCCTTTAGGGCTGTGGTGTCACTGGGAAGCTTAAGCTTGACAGTAGATAGATGTCATGTTCCAGAGATGGCTTTTTTTTTTCTGTGAAATTAATGCTGAGGGCATGGGCTGCTGCCTGTAATTGAAGCACATAGGGTATATGCTCATGTAGTCATTCCATGAACAGAAGAGCCTCTCGTGTACCTGGTGATGCTTTGCCTGGAGCAGGAACAGTTTCCACCCTTCACGTTGAGACTGCAGGACCATCATTTATGGCACTGGTATTGGAAGGAGGCCCTATCTCAGGCAGAGGGGGTGGAAGCCATTGGGGCTGCTGTTGCTTTTGTAGGCACTTGACTAAGCCAGAATTTGTAGTTTTTTAAACAGTTTATGCATAATTGGATAGGAACTAATGTGAAATTCCAATTTATGGATTAGATCCAAAGGAAAAGATGAGCCACAGCTCCTAGCAGCCCCCAGCTAGGGGCTCTGTCAGCAGTGGGTTTTCCACTGACTTAAGTGAGGTGGTTTTGTTTGTTGTTTGTTTTTTTAGGCAGGCTTTCTATATGTAGCCCTGGCGGTCCTGGAATTCACTATGTTAATTAGGCTGGCCTTGTACTCAGAATGCCTGCCTCTGCCTCCCAAGTGCAGGATTAAAGGTGTGAGTTACTATACCCAGCCTAAGAAGTGATCTCTTGACACAAGAAAATCTGCCTGGCTATTTTTCCTGGGCCTCAGTTGGAAGCCAACCATCTTTCAAGAGGCCTACTAGAAAGAGTTAAACCGGGAGTCTGTCTTCAGTCTGATCCCCCAGTGCCCAGCTGTTTTGCAGGGTCATATCTCAGTCCCTGGCTGGCAACTCTGTTTCCTTCTTCTTTTTAAAAATGAGACAGTGTCTAATGCATCCCAGACTAGCCTTGAATCCACTCTGTAGCCTACCTTGAATTTCTGATCTGTTCTGTTCTGTGCTGAGATTACAAGTGTGTGCCATGATACCTGGTTTTCCTCCCTGTTTTTGGAAGTCTAGACTGGCCTCAACCTTGACATCCTCTGTCTTTCAAATGCTGAGATTCTAGCCCTGTGCCATCACACCTGGTTTTTGTTTTGTTTTGTTTGCGGGGAGGGGGTTCTCACTGTGACTGTGTAGCCTTGGCTGTCCTGGAACTCACACTGTAGACCAAGCTGGCCTCAAACTCACAGAGTTCTGTCTACCTTTGCCTCCCAAGTGCTGGGATTAAAGGCTGATTTTTTTTCTTCTATGCCCGTTTGAGAGTAACAATTACACCTTAATTATTCTTAATAATATTTTTTGTTGTATTTGAATGGTCGTTTGTGATAGCTATTGTCCTTGAGTAGTAATTTTTTTCTATTCTATACTTAATTGATTTTTGAGATAGGGTCACTTGTATTCCAGGCTGGCCTTGAATTTGTCATTTAGCTGAGGATGACCTTGAATTTCTGATCTCCCTGTTTATACTTTTCTTTTTTCTTTTCTAAGATAGGTTCTCACTGTGTAGCCCTGGCTGTCCTGGAACTCATAGAGATTCACCAGTCTCTGCTTCCCAAGTGCTGGGATTAAAGATATGCATCACCACCCCTGACAGCCTACACTGTCTTTAAAGATTCTATAATTTCCATTTGCAGCTTAGGTGTGGGATCAGAAGATAATAGTGGCTTTTCTTTTTGGACCACATGTCCTTGGCTTTAGTGTCAGGTCCATTGAGAGATGGGATTTTACTTGAAGGTCCCCTCTGTGCCATTGAAATAAGCATGGAGTTCCCAAGTGTGCTGGCCTGTGTGTGCCCCACGCTCTATCTGGTGGTGATTACACATGGTCCTGTGTCATGGTGTGCTGACCTGTGTGTGCCCTACGATCTATGGTGGTGATTACACATGGTCCTGTGTCATTGTGTGCTGACCTGTGTGTGCCCCACGCTCTATCTGGGGTGATTACACATGGTCCTGTGTCATGGTGTGCTGACCTGTGTGTGCCCCATGCTCTATCTGGGGTGATTACACATGGTCCTGTGTCATGGTGTGCTGACCTGTGTGTGCCCCATGCTCTATCTGGGGTGATTACACATGGTCCTGTGTCATGGTGTGCTGACCTGTGTGTGCCCACGCTCTATCTGGGGTGTTTACACATGGTGCTATGTGGATCGAGTCAACATCTCTGTCCCTTTCTTTCTGGAGATTCTGTGCTATTGAGATTATTTACAAAGCTAGCTTGGTGGTGCTTTAGGAAGCTGAGGCAGGAGGATCCTCAGTCCAAAGCCACCTTGTCTCAGGTAACAACAACAAAAGGTGTAGTGGGAGAGCCCAATGCTATGGAATGATCCAACAGAAAAAAATAATAAACTAAAAAAAAAAAAAAAAAATCCCTACCTAACAGAAACCAAGAACAGTATTTGACTTAGTCCCCAGTCCCCTCACCCTCCAACTGCCCTTGTTTAAGGCCATTGGGATCGTTTATAAGCCTGCATTCAGAGCTCATCTTCCTTTTCTGACAACATATGTGTATAGTTAGTAGTGGAAACAACTGCCTCTGTTAAAACCTTTTCTTCTCAGAACACTTTAAATGGAGCACAGCTTTGGTCATGGAAACTTTTGGAGGAGGGAGAACTGGACAGAGGGGATGAGCAGCTGGCCTGCAGGGTGGGAGAGCTGGTGGCCATGTGGGCTGTTCCCGTGAGTGCCCAGAGCTGTTCTCTCACGGCACTGTGACTCCAGCAGCTGGTCCCTGCAGTAATGAAGGTTTTCTTTCTCAAGATGATGATTACTCCCCACCCACCAAGAGGCCAAAGACCAGTGAGCCGCCCCCGCCTCCACCGGTCCCCGAGCCCGCCAACGCTGGCAAGCGCAAAGTGAGGGAGTTCAACTTTGGTGAGTAACCGCTGGGAAGAGGTGGGCAGTGGCCAGCTGTGATACAGGAGATGGTGGATCTACATGGATCCTGTAAGCAGCTGGTGTAGATGGCATTGTGTTGGCCATTGGTGCCCCATTATCCGGCAAGGGACTAAAACCTTCATTTGCAAACTTACCCCTCTTGGTGTTCAGTTTTGCCCTGTCCCCCACCTCTCCTAAATAATTATGCCTCCAGTTGCCAGTGGGTTTCCACTAAGGGACTGAGTCAGATACTAGAGGTTTCGTTTTGTGGTCCATATTTTAAAGATCACTTAACTTTTGAAAGTCTTTGTTCTGTTCATGTTGGGGTAGACCCCAGGGCTTTGCCTAGACCAGTGCT